TATTATTCAAATATATTCGATTAATAATAGTGATAATATTATTATTATTATTAATAATAATAATAATAATAATAATAATAGTAATAACACTATAATAACTTTTAAAAGATAGCAATACCCTAAAGTGTAGTTCATAAATACATTTATGCATACCTATTCTAAGTCCATTTGTAACAAGTCAGAGTATAAATACGAATACAAATCGGATTTGTGGTTCAAATGTCTTTCAAATACAATACAAATAATTATGTATTTGATTCGCAGAATAAAATTAGAGTCATTTGACTTTGATATATACAATTATTAACTTATTTCACACATTATAAGTATAATTTCTAACATGTGTGTAAGTGTTTATTTCAAAAAGTTTGAAATAGATTTATATTTGTTGATCATAAAATTAATTCACTAAAGTATATCTTGCACAATCTAAAACTACATTGATCCATTGAATTTAAATTCTAAAAACACATATTAAGTCATAGTGTACATTTACAACATAAAAAAATATAATAAAATTTATTTTAAAGTGATATTTGACTAATATTTAACCTATGCTAAAATCTATTCGATATTCGTATAAGATTCGTTAATTATTCGTATTATTAAACAAATACAAATACAAATCGAAATTAATATTCGTTTCATATTTGAATTCGAATTCGAATTCGAAAAAATTAAACAAATACAAATACAAAATCCTACTATTCGACTCGATTCGGTTCGTATACAACCCTCAGGCCCGGCCCAGAAAAACGAAAGGCCCTGTTCAAAATAAAATTGGAGATTTAACAAAATTTGAGATTTAACTCTTCAATTCATATTTTCTAATTCTAGGGCATCATAATTTACAAATTGTACAAGAAATAACAAATTCAAAAATAGAAATTAACAAATAATGATGCAAGGATAGGAAAAGAACGGCTGAACAAAAGCACACCAGGAAGAGTTAGTGCCCCGCTGGTGGCCACATGCTACTCTGCTAAACTATTATTGTCTACTGAGGTATGCGCATCTGCGGCTGCCTACTCGGTTACCAGCGTCTGGTTTCAATGATTCAAAGGAATCAACTAATGAACAAATGACTAAATCAGTGAATCAACGTGGTCAACAAAGAAGATTTAAGAGAAAAGATGATTGCAGGTCGCCAAGTCGGCACTGGGAAGAAGAATTGAAACAATTGGGAAATCAGAACAATGGGCTTTGGATGAAATCGGATGTACGGGTTATTGAGATTCTCAAATTCAAAATAGCAGATTGAGGTTGAGTATTGTTGAATATTTAGCCTTAAAACCTAACCTTAAATTTCGACATACGTTCTCCCTAGTCTTCTCGAAATCGCCGTTGTGCCGCGTCGTTTCTCCAAGAAAAGTGCAGATAAACGAGGAGTCGAAGACTCCCAACTCGGCCGCTCCTGTTACGACTTAAGCGGTTGATGATCGATAGATAATGAAGGCAAAGAGGCGCGCTTCTTCTATTGGCCGGTTGGGCCTCTAGTTACTCCGTATTTCATAAAAATCCGAATGGGCCTAGGTATAATACTATCCTAATAAAAAATGGAGGCCCTCCCAAATTTAGGGGCCCTGTGCACTTGCACCACTTGCACCTGGGCCGGGCCGGGCCTGACAACCCTAATCTCCATGCGGACATGAGGATAGCGATAGAGATTATGTGGTTAATTTAAGACATGTTTGCACATTCAAATGGCTTGAGCTTGAACTAGGATGGAAAAACATGATATGAATCTTCATATGGGGATCAATTAAATATGGTAAGAGTAACAGGGTTGATGATGTGTACTACGGTTTGAATGACATGAGGCTAAAAGAAGGGAATCATTTACATCATCAGTTACCTGAACACCATAAGTTATTGCAAATTATAAGGTATAACCGACTGTACCTTGGGCATGGTATAACCACGTATTTTTGTAATAAGAAAGAACTTTAAGATTTTCAATAATACTCTCATCTCTGGCTTTTCACACGTACGTAGGTTACTCCCAAACTTTTTAACTTTGGCCGATCATCTTCTTCATGAAATCTGACGCCGCCATCTTCTGTTTCCTTCATGGCCAATTGGAAATCCATGGTGCTCAAATCGCACAACATCGATAGATCTGGTCTCTGGAACTTTGGCGGTCCTCATCGCAGGTATAGCCGGTTTTAAAAGGCCGCATTTTCTTGCCGGCCGGCCATCATGGCCATCGCTTGTCGGTCGTCCATTGCTACCATCTATTGTCTGTCTTTCAGCACCGCCACTTTTCGCAAGACTCAAAAAATGACGTATCAACAATATTTATATATAATAAATCTATTACATCTGCATATTATAGAAATGAATCTTATGTTAAACTCAAAAGAGTATAACTCCTAAAAGTAATGAACATACACAAATGAGTTTTTAAATATTTTGATACTAATGCTATGCTCATTTTAAAATGTTTTATTAATGCACATTTCAAATTTACAATAATGAATTAGATTCACATAAGAGTTAATTATAGCAACATGAGTAGACTATGATACTCAATCGCATGATTCTAATGCTCAATAGAAGATGTCTGATGCTCAATAAATGTTCAACTAACAAAACTTACGATTTTCATATCATTGCTCATTTTGTAAGTTGAGTTGCTCATTTCATATTGTTCTTATGCTCATTTACTAAATGTCATATCAATGCATATTTCAAAAGTACCATATTACATTAGATTCAAATGTCGAAATTCATAGAAGTTGATTATAAATATAATATAACAAGTTTTTATAAAAGAAAAATAAGAAAACGAAAGTGAATTAGAAGATATGAAACAGAAACCACGATGCTCAATATTGGACTCGTAATACTAAACAGAATACATCTGATGCTCACTAAATTAAAAGTGCACTAATTTTCATTTTAATAGAAGCCTGAATTTTCACCGAATATCTATCCAGGAAAAATCAAGCTCCATTTTATAATAGGTTAATGTTCATTTCATTGTTTCAATGTATCATACTAATTGTAATTTCATATGTACAATACTTGGCTATTAAACTTTTATTATATTTAAAATTATTCTCTAATCTTTAATCGCGTATAAATTATGATGTACTAAAAATTACAAGGATTAAAATTATGAATTGCATTTAAAATTACTTTCAATAAATTAATATTTTGATTGTTTTTTGGGTTGGGCTTAACACCAATTTTTTTGGACATATACTTATAAGGAGTAATTATAAAAAAAAATTGGGGCCGGACTGGGTTAGAGCTCATCATATCCTTAAGGGAAAGCTCACTTTATTTAGAAAAGTTAGATATAAAACTGTTTTTTCAAACAAATGATTAGACTTGATAGAAATTTAATTACAACTAAAATTGATCTGAAATTTCTATCTAGAATATCATACCTTATTAGTACGTATTAAAGTAATTTTTTATTCAGACATTAACCAATATAATTAAAATTGACGCAAACATGAATTTATAAAAAACTTGGCCTAATGCTATGATAATAGAATATGAGTAACAATTAAAAGTAATATATAATGGTGGAAGTTGAATCTGAAGAATTCTCTTCATTCAAAGAAATTTATCAAATATTTCTTAAATAAGGAGAATTCTTCAGATTCAACTTCCATCACTAGATACCATTTTATTAAGACACATAATCTTTTTTAATCAACTAGGTTATTTGAAAAATAAAAGTTGTATGACGGGATTTTAAAAATGTTTGAAAATATCCTACATCTCCGATGTGGGAAAGTTACAAAGACTCTTAGAGAACTTTTTTTTAATTTATTTAAGCTATAAAGATGAGTCAGGGAGCGAATAATAAACCTTTTCTAAAAAGCTATAATTACTTTGAAAAAAAGTTCAATATTTACTCCCTTAATTCATCATTATAACTTAAAATCACACATACATGTATAAAATACTTATTCACGCACAACACAATCTCAACATCAACGTACACACACACATATAAGAATTTTATCAATCCAGAACCTGAAAGATATACAAATTATCAATCTGACATCTGAAAGATGAAATGTATCGATATAAGATCCGAATGATGGAGATCTAAGACATTCTGAAGGGTAAACTTCAAATAAGAAAAGTGTTTCTCGTGCAAAATGTGTAAAGATACACCTTTACCCCATTCACAATTCATTGAAGTAGTTAAAAACAGTTGGCAGAGAGTAACTGTTTTGGGTGGGGGCATGCGTGCCTTACTCTCTAACCTTCAATGCCTAAAGTCTGAATGGAAGAAATGAACTAAGAAATGTTTTTTGGAAATATCATTGACGAAACTAAACATGGTGATGATCTTGTTCAGAAAGCTGAGCTGTTTTTTCAGGAAAGTCTTTCTCAGACCAACAGAGAGGATGGGTGTTGTAAACAGAGTTTCCTCATGGCAAGATATAAACAGGTTAAAACTTTCTCGACACAGAAATCTCAGGCTAAAAGAGAGGGATTTCAAATCTCATTTTTCACTCGTTCGTCAAAGTTAGGAAAATAAAACATATTACCTTCGTATATGATTCTGCAGGGAAATTATGCTCTAATCAAGAGGAAATGGGCTCAGTTGCTGTAAACTTCTTTTCCAAACTCTTTACCCTGAGCAGGATGAAGAAAATGGGACATTCTTCAGCATATTCCTGAAATATTGAGTGAGGAGGATAATAAATTTATTCTCACTATTCCTTGTAGTGAGGAAGATAAAAAGACCACTGATCCTGATGGGTTTAAAGATAAATTGATTAAATTCTTTCAAAATTGTTCGGATATTGTAGGTTAGGATGTGTTTGGGACAGTTCAAGACTTCTTCCTGGGTAATCATATTCCAACAACAACGGGTAGCAATATGATTATTCTGATTCCTGAATCAGATTTTTCTAAATCGTTCTCGTACTTCAGGCCATTTTTTTTTTTTTTTTTTTTTTTTTTTTTTTTTTTAACTTATCTACCTTTATTAGTAAGATTTGCACCCAGGTCGTGGTCCACATACTTCACTGTTTTTACCCAAACTTATATCAGTTGAACACGCTGGATTCACGAAGGAAGAAACATTACTGATCATGAGGTCTCCCCAACAGGCCAATTCACTACAAAAAAACAAGACCGTAGTCACGGACTTAGTCACGGACCGTAGTGTTAAAAAATCCTTGACTAACTTTTTTAGTCACAGATTTAGTCACGGATTCCGTCCGTGACTAACTCTAGTCACGGACTGTTATCCGTGACTAAGTTAAGTTTAGTCACGGCCCTAATCCGTGACTAATTCGTTACCGGAGTTGCTATTCCGGTACGTTTGTCACTTAAACTTTATTTATTTTTTAAAATCCGTCAAATTAGTCACGGACAGAATCCGTGACTAATATTTTTAATTTTAAAAAACAATATTTTTTATTTAATTTTTAAAAGAATTTAAAAACAAAACGGGAAAAACCCGGACAACATTAGTCACGGACAACATCCGTGACTAATATTTTTATTTTTTTAAAAAATTAATTTTTATATAATTTTTAAAATAATTTAAAAATAATATTTGAAAAGAATTTTTATAATTTATATTTTAAAAAATTATCTTTAATTTTTTTTTTTAAAAAAAATGTAGTGGAATTATAACAATTAAATAGAAAAGAAATTCATACACATTTAATCTACCAGTAAAATCTAGGATCATCATTATCATATTCATCATCAACATTATCAACGAGATAATCCTCTTTGGGCTCTTCGTGTCGGGTGCCTCCTCGGTTGCCTCCGCGGCTGCCTCCGCGACTGCCTTCGCGTAGGCTGCCTCCTCCTGTGTTGCCGCCGGGTGTTTGAAACTGGTTAAAATTTCCAGACAAAAAAGTTTCGAACGACCCGATTGTAGGCACGCTACTAAACCCGGAGTTAGATTGATACAGATTGCCCATGTGCTGAACTTGATGAGTCATCTCAGGGTGCCTAAAATACGGCTCAGCCCAATATCCAACGTTGAAATTTCTTGTTGAATATATGCTTGACAAATTGAAACTTCAACGTGTGCCTTGTTGGTCACTTTCTTTTTCAACTCTCCTAGAAATATGCAATGTAAAATAAAAGTTGTAAACAAACAAATGTTCTTATGAAATAAATATTCAAAGATAAATGAAATTGTGGCTAACCTTTCCCATCTGTACATCCAACGATAGAAGACGGGCCTAGCAGTCAAAGCCTCATACAAAAGATGTATTATAAGATGTTCCATTCCATCGAAAAACGATGGAAGCATTATTTTTTCCAAATTACACATCAGAATGGGAACAAACTCTTCTAGGCTCTGGAGGGATGCTGCATCCAAAATGCTGGAACATATCGACTGAAACAACAAACTGATTTCAGTAATATAGGACCATACTTGTTCAGGAAGCATCTCTTATAGTGCAATCGGCAGAAGTATTTGCATGATTACATGAGCATCGTGAGTTTTCATGCTCGACGTCGTGGTAAGTTTGTTCATGTCCACACATCTGGACAAGTTGGAGCAGTAGCCATCTGGAAACTTCAGAGACACAAACCACTCTAATATTGACTCCTTTTGTGCTTTAGTGACTTGGTAGACTGCTTTTGGAATTTCGTTTTTAGTTTGTTCTAGATCAACTGAAAGTTCGGGTCCATCACACAACATTGTCATATCTTTTCTAGATGCAAGACCGTCTTTAATTTTCCCTTTGAAATCCATCACCGTGTTAAATATATTGTCAAAGATGTTCTTCTCAGTGTGCATGACATCTAAATTGTGATGAATGAGAAATTCTTTCCAATATGGCAACTTCCAAAATATACTCCTCTTTGTCCACTTATGGGCATGACAATACCCATATGGCTCCTTCTTTGGTTCTTGCATAGCCGTAGGAATACGTCGAACCCGGTTAAAAATTTCTTCGCCAGTCAATCTCGGGGGTGGGGGCTCTCGTACCACTCTATCTCTAATGAAAGACTTGTTTTCCTTTCGATGTCGGTGGTTTGGCGGGAGAAACTTGCGGTGACAATCAAAGTAACTTGGTTTTCCACTGAAAGTGAGCCAATTGGCATCTTATTTCTCCATGCATATCGGACATCTCATAAGACCGTGTGTGCTCCATCCCGAAAGCATACCATAGGCGGGAAGTCGCTAATGGTTCAAATGATGGCAGCTTTCATGATAACCATTTGATCTGCTGAAACATCATAAGTTGGTGTCCCATTGGCCCATAGTTCTTTCATCTCCTCAATAAGGGGTTGAATATAAATGTCTATCTTTTTTCCTGGATCCTTCGGACCCGGACAAATTAAAGTCAAAAAGATGAAATGACTTTTCATGCACATGTCGGGAGGGAGATTGTAAGGAGTTAACAAGACTCGCCAACATGAATAGTTCTTCCCAAACCTTCCAAAAGGAGCAAATCCGTCTGAACACAATCCCAGTCGCACATTTCGTGGCTCCATTGCAAACTGAGGATGACAACGGTCAAAGTGTCTCCAAGCTTCACAGTCCGAAGGGTGAGACATCATACCCTCTTTGGTTTCGTGCTCGACATGCCATGTCATGTGTTTTGCAGTAGCAGTCGAAGCGTACATCCTCTTTAGTCGTGGAGCTATTGGGAGGTAAAACAATTTAGATAATGCAGACCTATATCGTGGTTTATTTCGTCTTTGAGGAACATGTTTGTATCTGTCTCCACCACAGAACTTGCAGATCTCAAGTGCCTCATCATCCTTCCAGAACAACATACATCCTTGTGGGCACACATCAATTTCTATACAAGGAAGCCCCAACTTAGATATTAATTGCTTCATGTGATAATATGAATCGGGGATGTTATGATCACGTGGTAGCATTCCTCCTACTGGCTACAACACTCTAGACATGCAAGGTTCAGGGAGATTGTATTCAGCTTTTATGTTCATAAACTCTGTAACGGCGGATAGCTGAGAGTATCCCTCACAATCAGTATACAGAGGTTGATCGGCAGCTTTTAAAACATCTTGAAATCTCTCAGCTAAACACACAAGGTTGATAAAATATCGGATTTTCATCCGCATCTGGTTGATACGAGGTCGAGGCTTCAGGAGGATCGTTAAATGGTTGTGGGGGGTTGAACTGAGACATCGATGGACCGTATGCATCATATACCATTCTTTGGTCCCACTTTATTTGAGCACGTCTCCCCACCCACTCATCTCGTTAGGGATGTTACGAGATGAACCTACCGTTTGTGGTAAAAGAGATGGATCCAAAAGTTCACCATGACAAGTCCAATTATAATAATTGGGAACGAAACCGCCTGCGTACAAATCCCACACAACCTCGTCTTGATCTTTAAATTTGAGATTTCTACACTTTGAACATGGACATCGGATTTTATCACCACTCATATAATCCGGGTGTTCAAGTGCAAATGAAACAAACTCCCCAATTCCATCAAGAAAATTTGTTTTCATTCCATACAATACCGCATGTTTATCATACATCCAACTTCTATTTTGCCTATACATTAAGCTTGAATATTATAATAAAAAAATATAGTGGTTAAAAACTTTAAATTATAAACATTACCAACATATGTTGGAGCATTATTAATATATTCAATTTCACTAAAGTTCACTACAGTTAAATATTATCAATTAACTAGAACGTTAATATAATGTCATTAATCATTTAAATTATTAACTAATAATCAATATTAGGATTTTAACACTAAATACAATAAACTATTACGTTAATGGCATTAATTCATAAACATTAACAATAATTTTTTATGTTTAAGAACATTTATATATAAAATTAACTAACGTCCAATTAATATTATTAAACTAGAAACAATACGTTAATGATATTAATTCACAATACTAAAATTATCAAAATGTTATTAATAATACACAATTAACACTTCACTAAATTAAATGAAATTTACATAATTCATAATAATAATTCACACTAAAGTAATGTTTCAATCCTAACTTAACCCATTATAAATCCTAAATTAGGCATTAACAATAATTGCTAATAAACAAATCCAATAATTTGAGCATATATAAACCCATTTGAATTAAATAATACTTAAATTTAACTAATATTATAAAAAATTTAACCAATTTACGTAATTTTAACTAAATACAAAATTAATTAACACTACGTTTAAATTACACCTACGTTTAACTAATTTTAAATAATTTATTTCCTTAATTAATTAACAACCTTTTTTTAAACCCATTTGAATTAACTAATATTTAAATTTAACTAATATTATCAAAAATTTAACTAATTTAGCTAATTAATATAACTTAATGCATCACTACGTTTAAACCTACATTTAACTAACTAATTTTAACAAAATTATTTTATAAACCTAAAATTTTAACTAATTTTATGACATCACTACGTTTATAGTTAAATATACTGTTATTTAATTAACAATCTCACTATAGCTGAGAAGGATCAATTCATGATTGTAAAGGTAAAATTCATTCCATTGGATTTTAACTTTATTTTCTCTCCAGTTTATGGGCTGCATACTAGATGTGACAGAGCCAGGTTGTGGACTGGGTTGTCAAATGTTGCTCTAACGGAAGATTCAGCATGGGTTTTAGGGGGAGATTTTAATGTTGTAGCTTCTATAGCTGAATACAAGGGACCATCTACTCCACTTATTAATCATATTTTGGATTTTCAAGAATGCATTGATGGCTGTGACCTTTTTCAATTGCCTGCTATAGGGTCTGCTTTTACTTGGCATGGAATGAGGTCTAACGGTAGAGTGTGGGAGAGGCTAGATAGGTATCTGGTAAATCAAGCCTTCCTGACGAAATTTGAATCTATTAAAATTCAACATTTGACTAAAGCTCCCTCCGATCACTGTCCTATTCTTTTAATTTGTGATCTTGCTGTGGACAAGGGACCGAGACAATTTCGGTTTCAAAACATGTGGTTCTCTAATGAGGGGTTTTTACCATTTGTGAAAAGAAAATGGATGGAATATCCAACTTGTGGGGGAATGCGTGGTTTCTGCGCTAAACTGCAGTCTCTAAAGTTGGACTTGAAGAGGTGGAATAATGAGGTGTTTGGGGACATCTTTAAGGAGGCTGCAAGGCTGGAAGAGGAAGCATTGGAGGCTGAAAAACTTTATGAGGAAAGTCCTAATGAATCTACCCGGGAGAACTGCCACAAAAAACAAGCCCAACTCCTGATTAGACTCAAGCAGCAAGAGATGTTTTGGAAACAAAAGTCTGCTGTGAGGTGGATTAAACAAGGAGATGCTAATACAAAGTTCTTCCACGCTTCGGTTAAGGATAAAATTGGCAGGCAATTCATCAATGCAATAAAAAAGGAGAATGGTGAATGGTGTTATGACACTAAGGATATTGGGAAGGAAGCTGTTGAATTCTTTTCTAATCTATATATGGATGAAGATACAGAGGGCAATGATAAGATCCTTCAACATATACCAAGTCTTCTGGATCTGGTTGATAATGATAATCTTTTGTTACTGCCAGAAGAAACTGAGGTCAGAAAGTTGCAGTTTGTGGAGAGTTTGAAGTAGAAACGAAAACCCTACGTTGAAGCATTCATGGCGGCTCCCATGGCGGAGCCTCCCCCTCCGCCGTCCAGTGCTTGGTCCGGGAAGTCATTTGCTGAAGTTGTTGCCAACAAATCTTCTGGTTGTCTTTCGGCTAAAACTCCTACGCGTTTCAAAGGTCTGCCAGCAATCACCTTCACAGATTCTGATGTTAACATTCTAGCTGAACGTCATCGTAGATCTTTAATTGGATACTTCTACAGAGGTCGTCCAAATTTGGAATTTATTCGGAAAGCTTTGGAAGTAATTGGGTTTAAAGGAGCTTTTCATTTAGGCGTTTTGGAAAAAAAGCATATCTTGATTCGTTTTGAATCTGAAGAGGATTATTTTCGTTGTTGGAATCGCCAAACATGGAATTTAAGAGGTTATGTTATGCGGGTGACCAAATGGACCCCGGAATTCCGTCCTAACGTGGAATCTCCAGTGGTTCCGGTCTGGATTTCACTGGAGGGTTTGCCTCTCCATCTACATGATCGGAGAGCTCTATTTGATATTGCAGGCTTAATTGGTAAGCCTTTGCGGATTGATGCTGCCACGGCTAACTTATCCAGGCCTTCTGTGGCCAGGGTTTGCATTGAGCTGGATGTCACCCAGGAGTTGCCTCAGAAACTATGGATTAATTGTGGCAAGACTGGATTTGTGCAGCCTGTTTTATATGAGTACATTATATGAGTACATGCCTGAATACTGCTCTTTCTGTTTGCATTTGGGTCACTCCCAAGCCAAATGCCCCAAACAGAATCAAGGCATCATCTTGGTAGACCAGGCTACTAAAGAGACTTGGGTGGAAAAAAGTAAGGAGATCAGGAATGATCAGGCTAAACATACTAAGTTCACAGCACAGGAGAAAGGAAAATCAATTATTTCACATGCTTCTCAGAAACCCAGGGATAGCCGAAGAATAAATAACTGCACAGATTTAATGGTTGTTAATCAACCATCTACATCTAATATACATAACATTCAGAGTGATGTTGAGACAGACACTGAGGAAGTCTTTCATGAGGAACCCCCGGCCTCTGGAGGATTGCAGGTTCCACCTCAACAAGATGAGCTTGATAGAGATAGTCTGAAGCAGCTTCTCCAAAATCATGTACCTGGATTATTACATAATAAACTCATTGGTGGTATTTCTGATGACTGTCAACTAAAGGAGCTACAGCAAAAACAACAATTTGACCCTATACTTGCTTCCAAGCACTATTCTTCTGATAGTGAGTCTGGTAAGCAAGTTTCTATGGAAGAGTGGAATATGGGATGGGATGAGTTAGTTGCTAAAGTGGATATTATGGCCAAGAGGATGGACATGGAGTTAGAGGATTTGATGCAGATTGGTCAGGAGGTGAATCAGTCTCCTGACTCTATTCCCTCTACCTTACCTGTGGATTCAGTTTGTGCAGATGGGGATCATGATGGTCAGAATGATCAAGAGGGTTTCACAGAGGTAGTTCATAAGAAGAATAGAAGAAAGGACACACAAGTTTCACCCAGGATTACTAGAAATGCTGCAAAGAGGAAGGAAGCATCAGTTATGTCAGTTTCTGTGCAATTAGACAGTAAGTTGGCTTCTCAAAATCTCCCCAATTCACCTAAATGAACTGTTTATGTTGGAATGTTAGGGGGGTGGAATCTGCCAGAGCTAGGTTAATATCTTTAACTAAGCAATGGCATATTCAGATTCTTGCAGTTATTGAACCTATTTTGGATTTTTCTAAAGCTGAGTCCTTTTCTTTGGACTTTGGCTTTTCCAATGTTCTGTCTTCTAATTGCAATAAAATTTGGGTTTTCTATGACCATTCCGAGGTGGATATTTCAGAGTTTTTTTTCCATGATCAGTTCATCCATTTTAAATTTAAGAGAGGCCATGTAGAAGGCTGGTTAACTATGGTTTATGGCAAACACAATTTCATTGATAGAAGGGAGTTGTGGGACTCTTTGGTGAAGTTCTCTAGAGACATTCAGGAACCTTGGCTGATTGGAGGTGACTTTAATGCTATTATGAAACATAATGAACATCAAGGAAGATCTATTCCTAATCTTAATAGTATGATGGATTTCTCTAATTGTGTAGCTGAATGTGATTTGATTGAGCCTAATCATTCAGGTCCCTCCTATACATGGGCAGGGGTGAGGGCTAATGGCTGGGTCTAGAGGAAGCTTGATAGATACTTGTTCAACCATAAATGGAACGATCTGTTTACTAAAATTCAAATGGACATTCTTGAAAAAACCCCATCTGATCATACCCCATTACTTATTAGGTGTTCTTCTGAGGAATTTAATGGCCCTAGATCTTTTAAATTTCAAAATATGTGGATCAAACATCCTAAATTCTTGGATACTGTTCTGGCAAGTTGGAAGAAGACTCCTACTGGAGGGGGGATGAGAGGCTTGATGAATAAGCTAAAATGCCTCAAAAATGATTTGAAATGCTGGAACAAGGATAGTTTTGGAAACATTTTTGAAGATATAAGAAGATGTGAAAACCTTGTGATGCAAGCTGAAAAGAATTTCATGGAAGATCCTTCTGCAATTAACAGAGAAATGTGGAACCATCATAAAGCTCTCCTTATCACCAAGCTTAACCTGGAAAGAAAATACTGGAAACAGAAATCACATGTAAAATGGTTGAAGGAAGGTGATGCTAATACAAGTTATTTTCATTCTTTTGTGAAAATCAGGCATAGAAGGCAAGGTATTAGCTCTATTCAAAATGAGGAAGGTGAGATGGTTTCATCTTTACCTGATATTGGGAAGGCTGCCATTGATTATTACACCAAACTTTACTCTGTCTCCCAGCCTGTCTCATCTACAGATATCCTACACTTCATTCCAAGCTTAGTTTCTGCAGAAGACAATCATCATCTAATGTCTTTGCCACAAGAGGAGGAAGTTAAAAAAGCGGTTTGGAACCTTAATCCAAATGGGGCTGCTGGGCCTGATGGATTTAATGGTAAATTTTTTAAAAAGTGTTGGCATATAGTTGGTGTGGATCTGGTTAAAGCTCTGCAGGAATTCTTTTTAGGGATTTCTATCCCTAAGGGGTTATCTAGCAGTCTGATTGTGCTAATTCCTAAGATCAATAATCCTTCTTCCTTTGCTGACTTTAGACCCATATGTCTTTCTAATTTTGTGAATAAGGTTTGCACTAAGGTTTTGGCTGACAGACTCTCTCTGATCCTACCTAAAATCATCTCTCCTGAGCAGATTGGATTTATGAAAGACAAAGATATGGTGGATCATATTCTTATTGCCCAGGAAATGATTCATTCTTTGAATAAAAAAGTGAGAGGTTCTAATGTTGTTGTTAAACTTGATATGGCAAAAGCTTTTGATAAGCTGTCCTGGGATTTTATTGCTATTATTCTGGAAAGATTTGGTTTTTCTCACAGGTTTATTCAAGTTATTTTGAATAATCTGAAATCTACATACCTCTCTATTTTGGTTAATGGGGTGCCACAAGGTTTTTTCCAACCTAAAAGGGGTGTTAAACAGGGTGATCCACTCTCTCCATACCTGTTCATCCTTGCATCAGAAGCCTTTTCTAGAGGTATTGCTTGGCATATTAATAATGGGTACATTAAGAAATTCTGGATGGGCTCTTATGGTTATGCAGTCTCCCATTTAGGTTATGCAGATGACTTGTTGATCTTTCTAAATGGTGATTCTAGATCTCTAAAAAAATTTAAAGAATTTCTTAATTCTTACCAAATAGCTTCTGGGCAGTCCATTAATCTGCAAAAAAGCTCCTTTTTGTGTGGCAGAAAAGCAAGAGCTGGTTTGATTTCTAATCTTCTGGGAATGAGAGAAGCTGACCTTCCCATCAAATATTTAGGGGTCCCCCTGCATAAAGGAATGAACAGAGTTAGTCATTGCATGGACCTAATTCATAAATTTGACTCTAAGCTCTCAACATGGAAACAAAGTCACTTGTCAATGGCTGGTAGATTGATTCTTATAAAGCATGTGTTAAATACAATTCCTTTACATACTATGGCTGCTGCTAAACTCCCAAAAAAGGTTATCAATATCATTGAAAAGAAAATGGCTTGCTTTCTTTGGGGCTCTTCTAATTCAAAAAGGAAATACCATTGGGTAAAATGGTCTCAACTATGCTATCCAACTGAGGAGGGAGGTCTTGGTATTAGAAGCCTTTCAGATATTGAAACAGCATTTTCTATTAAACTATGGTGGAAATGGAAGACTGGGGACTCTATTTTGGCTAATTTTTTGAGAGCTAGATATCCTAGAGGCTCAAATATGGTCCCTAAAGTCTATGATTCTCCCATTTGGAGAAGAATTTGTTCTATTAATGAGTTTGCCTCATCATTGTGTGGTGTGAACTCTGATGGGAGTATTTTTTCCTCAGGTGTTTTTTCTCTAAAATCTGCTTATGAGGAAGTTAGAGATGAGAAGTCTTCTACTTTTTCTGCAAAGCACAGTTGGAACCCTAAGCTTCCTCTTAAGATCAGATTGTTTCTTTGGAGATTGCTTAATGGTAATCTGCCTATTTCAGATAACTTGTCTAGATTCCAGACAGTAATCAATCCATCTATATGCCCTCTATGCAGAGCCCATTCCGATGCTGTGGATCATGTTTTCTTTGGATGTACAAGGATTAGACCAGTGTGGGATTATTTTATGGGGATTTTTGGAATCTCTATATCTCTTCAAATTGATTCTATAAGACATGTCCTCATTGCTTGGTGGATTCAAGCAGGTTCTAAAACACTTGATGATATTTTCAAGCATTGTTTACCGGGAATTATTGGTTGGCATATATGGAGAAGCTATACTTCTTTGGTTTGGGGTTCTGCTGAAAGCAGACCGACTCCAATATCTCTTATACACCAAATCAAGCAATTCACGTGTAGCTGGGTCTCTACTACTAAATCTAAAAGGCTTTGGAAGGCTGGAGATATTCTATTTGAAGAGCAACTGATACCAAAAGATTTTAGGCTGGGTATGCCTTTAATAAAATCAATTTCATGGCAGAAACCGAAGAACTCGCTAAAGCTAAATATAGATGCGAGATACTTATCTTATCAAGCTGCTGGGGGTGCTATTTTGAGAGATTGCGATGGGAAAATGATCGTAGCTTCCTCTTTCCCGATATCGGCTTCATCTTCATTTGAAGCCGAGCTTGCTGCTGTTCTTCACGCTACTTCTTGGGCGATGTCCCTTGGGTTTCATAGCTTCCAAGTTGAGATTGACGCCATGGAGGTGCTGGAGCATCTGCAGCGAAGAAGGATTGGAAGAAGAAGGGACGAGGTTAATAGTTTGTTGGATCTGTCTGAGGCGAGTGATGTTTCCTATTCTGGTGTTTTGAGAGAGGCCAACTGGACGGCACATTATCTGGCCGATGTGGATACGGGCCGGCCCATTCTTTTCTCTAATGTGGCGGATCTTCCTTCTCAGGCTCGAAAGGCCTACTTCTCAGATTTATTTGGGCTGTCTTCCTTGCGATTTGTCTATTAATTCTTTGTGGGCTTTATTTTGATGTTGTAATTTTTGTCCTGTTTAACTTTTTTTGGAGAAGTTTGGTTTGGCCCCCTTCTCTAGCTGTATGTTTTTCTTTTATTAATAATAATATGGCAGATGACCCCCCGGCTTCTGCCCCACTGATTTTGGTGGTTTACCTTCCGGGGTAAAAAAAAAAAAAAGCCAGAAGAAACTGAGGTAAAAGATGCGGTGAGGGGCTTGAGCCAGGAAGCTGCACCTGGCCCGGATGGGTTCGGAGGAAGTTTCTATAGGGGGTGCTGGGAGATTATTAAAAAGGATGTTATTTTGGCGGTCCAGGAATTCTTTTTGGGGTTCGCAGTCCCTAGGGGTATTGGAAGTGTGAACATGGTACTTATACCCAAGAAAAAGAATCCCTCAAGTTTTGGAGACTTTCGCCCCATTTGTTTATCTACTTTTATTAGCAAGATAAATACTCGCATCTTAGCCACCAGAGTATCTCGCATTCTGCCTAAAATTATTTCTAAAGAACAGTCGGGCTTCATGAAGAATAGAGATATTAGAAACCAGGTTTTAGTGGCATTTGAGATGTTACATAATCTGGATAAAAAAGTCAGGGCATCAAACATGGTGTTGAAGTTAGATATGGCCAAGGCTTTCGATAGGGTGGATTGGAATTTTTTGGATTCTATCCTTCAGAAATTCGGGTTTAATCAAAGGGTTAGACAGCTTATGGTGGGCAATCTTAAGAGTACATACATATCCATTATGGTAAATGGGGTACCATTAGGCTTCTTCCAACCTTTAAGAGGTGTTAAACAGGGGGATCCTCTCTCCCCGCTCTTATTTATTATTGTTTCAGAAGCATTCTCTAGAGGACTGAATTGGTTGATTAAAAAAGGAGACATTGAAAGGTTTAATATGGGCAGAAGTATCCATATATCTCATTTAGCCTTTGCGGATGATCTAATGGTCTTCCTAAATGCCTCTGTTAGATCTGTTAAGCACTTCAATAAATTTTTGAAAGTCTACCAAAAGGCTACGGGTCAGCTGGTCAATAAAGACAAAAGTTGTTTTGTAGTGGGAAAGCATGCATCTGCGGGAAGAATAATTCAAATAGAGAATGAACTGGGGATGAAAGCTTCAAAGCTTCCTTTCAAATACCTAGGGGTCCAGATCCATAAAGGCATTACAAGGATAGATCATTGTAAGGATCTATTGGAATGTTTTGATAAAAAGTTGTCTGGTTGGAGTAGGAAGATGCTGTCTCAAGGAGGTCGTTTAATCCTTATTAAACATGTTCTAAGCTCAATTCCTATTCATGTGTTAGCCTCTACTACCCTCCCAGCATCTGTTATCAAACTAATTGACAGGAAAATTACCAATTTCTTTTGGGGAAGCAAAGACAATAAGCTGAAACATCATTGGGCCAGCTTTAAAAGACTCTGCAAGCCTATGGAAAATGGTGGTATGGGTATAAGAGCTGTAAAGGATATCCAGAAAGTATCCTCCCTAAAACTATGGTGGGATTATCAGAAAGGTGAATCCACTTGGGCTGATCTGATGCAAAGCAGGTATGGGAAACGCTGCTTGGGCGAGATTAAACCTTCAGACTCTCCCACATGGAGAAGGATCTGCCTCGTACATGAGGAAGCTGAGCAAATGATAATTCGAGGACCTAATACCATAACATGGAAGCATACAAGGGAAGGGGAATTTACATCCAAGTCTGCCTATTTAGCTTTATGGCCCCAGGGAGGAAGGACTCTATCAAATACTCTAATTTGGCACCCTAAACAAACTCCCAAAATCAAGGTATTTCTCTGGAAATTGTGGAATGATAGTCTGCCTTTCCCGGAATATCTGGCTATTTTCACAGTGCCTTACCCCACCAGATGTCCTTTTTGCAAAAATGCAGAAATTAGCCGTGATCATATTCTGTTGAACGGTCCTTTTGCCCAAGCTATTTGGGGCTTCTTCTCAAATGCGTTTCTGCAAAGAGGGAAACATGCGTCCAATGTCAAATTGGAAATTATGAAGTGGTGGATTAGCACTAAAGGTAAATCAATGGATAATACATACTCTGTTGTACTGCCAGGAGTAATTGTGTGGTGTTTGTGGAAAGCATACTGGGACTCAGTATGGAAGGAGATCGACCAAAGAGCGGAGGTTTTGATTCAACATATTAAGAAAGTCATGTTACTATGGTGCTATGCAAATGATAATTTGAAAGGAAATGAAAGGATTAAACAGTTGGGACTTATACCTAACTCGTTTGGAAGGAGCAGACCAAGAGTTATCAGCTGGGATAAGCCAGGGCCGTCTCAGGTGAAGCTCAACTGGGCGGTAGCTAGGGGCAATGGCAAAACTGCAGCGGGTTATCTGATTCAGGACCAGTCTGGAGAGGCGGTGGCAGTGGAAGGTTTTCCTCTGAGTGGTTCGGCTATGGCGGAAGGGGAAGCGTTTGGGAGAATTATGCAAATGGTGGAAGCTCTTGGCTTGCCTAATGTGGTAGTGGAATCTGCTTTTTCAGGAATGTGGGAGGAGGGCCGAGATTATATGGACCGGATTAGTGGGCTGCGGTTTTCGGTGATATCGGCCCAAACTAATATAGCTGCGGTTTTAGTGGCTAGATTGGGCCTCCTAGGCTCTTTTACGTGGCATAAGGGTGATGATTTGCCTCAACAGCTGAAGGGAGCTATTGCTTTAGATGCTAACTCAGTGCCTTATATTATATAACTCTTGTCTTCAAATTGTAATTGCTCTTTATGGGCTTCTTTGGCTTTGGGTAAGGTTTAAGCCCCCCAATTGTATTTTGTTTTGGTTTTTCTAATAAAATCCGGTAAATGTTCCCCGGCATTTACCCCACTGATTTTGGTGGTTTACCTACCGGGTTAAAAAAAAAACAATCTCACTAATTTAATAGTTTTAATTATTTAAAATGAACCAACTAATTCTTAATAAAAAAACATAATTCTAATGACATACCTTATCTGCATAAACAGGGAAAATCACATAAGATAGATTACATCCTTCAATCTTTCAAACAGATACTGTATTATATACTGAGAGTGAATTGATGTGGTTCTATTGAATGAATCTGCTCATGCATATATATAAAAATTAGTCACGGACTTAGTCACGGATTCGTCCATGACTAATTTAATTCGTACAAATTACCTGTACGAATTAAATTCTGAGCGTTTAAAATTAATTTTTTTTAGTCACGGACGTAGTCACATATTTGTCCATGACTAAGTACCGGAATAAAATAAAATCCGCCGGAAACGGAATTGGGGCCACCGAAGGCCTTTAGTCATGGATATTAACCGTGACAAAGTTTCGTCACAAACAAACTAGTTACGGACAAAATCCGTAACTACAGCCCTGTTTTTTTTTTTGTAGTGCAAACCAGGTTGGAATAAATTTTCCATATGTGCCAAACAAAGATTCTAGGCAGCTCTTTCCTGAAAACATCCATTAGCGACTTGTTTCCAGCTTTCCTCCACCAAGAAATCTACTTGGGAGTTCCTATTTGGTATACCAAAAATGCCCATGAAACACTCCCATACCTTCTGCACGTAAGAGCACTGAAGAAATATACTTCCATCGTTCTTTTGTAATTACTCCCTCCGTCCCTTATAACTTTGCCAACTTTCCTTTTTTGGATGTCCCATTAACTTTGCCACTTTCCCATTTAAGTAAAGAATTTGTGATTCCAGTTAATTCTCTCTCCTCTGCACAAACATCAACCACACAGTTTTTACTTTATTAATCCCCGTGCCGGTCAAACTTGGCAAAGTTATTAGGGACGGAGGGAGTAGTAAGCTCCACCAGTAACCGAATGCTCTGTGGCCGCAAAACGTTCTGAAGTGCGGGTATGTGGCATTGTGGCCTCAGAAGAATTCGAAATGAGGAAGAGGAAAGAGACGAGGGAAACTAACGGCAAAACGGAAGTTATTTGGGAAAATGGAAACTAATAATCCAACCTTTTAGCGGTCTTCTTTCAAAAATCCAACCTTTTGATTATTCATGAATAATCCAACCTTTGCACCTCATCTTCATTCATTGGTCCCTGGTCGGTTAATGACCTACTATTCCAAGTTATTTTCTTATCTTTGCAAAATATTATCTTTGTGAAAGATGAGATTTATGGTATAATGATTTGCAAAGATAAGAAAATAGCTTGGGATAACAGGTCATCAACCGGTCAGGGACCAGTGAATGAAGATGAGGTGTAAATGTTGGATTATTCATGAATAACCAAAAGGTTGGATTATTGTAAGAAGAGCGCTAAAAGGTTGGATTATTAGTTTCCATTTTCCCAAGTTATTTTTTCTTGCGCCATTCTTTTTTTTCACCGTGAGGCTGTACACACGAGAATAGGACACGAAAATAGGACCTATTTAACTCTCTTGGTCACATTGTATAGATACGAGATTATTTCGACATTAACAAATCAACAATGCTTGATGCACTCACTCTTATACCCACCTTACAGGGCCGGTCCTGTCTTTTTTCGGGCCTATGGGCGAGATAATATTTTGGACTTATATTTAAGAAAAACAATAAAATTATACTTTTTTAAAATACAATTATAATAAAATTATCTAATAAAGGTCATAAAATAAAAAACAAAACTCATTTTATTATTATTTAAATTACATATTTGGTGAAAAATAACAACACAAGTATTACATAAAAAGAAAAATATTACTTAAAAATCTTTCTTGTATAACATTGTGAAGCAAAATCATCAATAATTGTATCATAAGTGCTAACCCATTAAGCCTTTCTTGACACAGTCAATCGCAAATAATTCATCAGAATCTTCAACTTTGAAAAACATTACTTAGAAACGTTTCTCACGGAATTTCAAGATTTCATTTCTTAACAAAAACAATTTTTCCATTGATCGACCCGGCCTTTTGAGCGTGTCTTTTCTAATCTTCTCGTCTCTCTGTATACCAACCCGATTCACCCACTTTATCGAGAACAATTTATCGATCGCCATTGGATTGTTTGAAGCCTTGGAAGAAAAAGTTTTTTTTTTGTCACCAACCGCTGTTTGAATTGGGCTCCTCGATTGGTTGACTTCTTAACAAACTATTGAGGCACTCACCGCTTTGGAGTGTTCGTTACCCTTGTTGATTTTGGAATTTGGAAACAACAAATCAATTTGAATGGATTTTACAAATTGGGAATTTTGGAATTGGGAGTCTTAACACAACTTAGTAATTTTGTAATTAAAATGATTAAAAAGCCTAGAGATGTGAAGAGAATTAAGAGAGACGTGCCTCTTTACATTGATTTTAAAAATTAACCTTGAGCCTAATTAATTGAGCTTAAAAATTAAAAAAAGAAGTCTACTCACACTACATATAAAGAAATATTTTTGGGTCTATTTTGTCTTCTTATTTTCTTGGGCCTAGGGTGGTCGACCCTGTTGCACCCCCCTTAGGACCGGCCCTGCCACCTTATACCTACCATGTTTGTGGATGTCTTTTTTTTGTCTGTGAATCCGGTTCATAGACAATATTTTGTTTGTGCAAAATATTGTCTGTGAGCCGGAGTTCACAGAAAAAAACACTTCACAAACATAGGTAGGTACAAAAGTGGGTATAAGAGTGGGTACAAAGATCATTTTTGTTAACAAATACCAGTGCTTAGTAACAACTCGCGGGCTTGGTTTGTACCCAGCGTCATTGTGCCATTATTACTTTGGAAATCGTACAACAACGACCTAGACATACACGATCCTTCTAATTAAGTTCATGGTATTAGCTCTTAGCTGCGTCCTAAGCAATGAATTGTGAACAAGGGCGTAGACAGGAGATCAAATTGGACCGAATCGATACACCAACAACTTCAGAGTCCTACCAAAAAAATTTGGAGTCAGCTAACATGAATTGATACATTATATTGAATCTAAAAAAAGTAGAAAAAAATGATATGGTAAAGTAAAAAAGATAAGATACAGATAAATACTTCGTATAAGATAAAGATAAAAATGATAAAAATTATATACATAAAATAAAAAAGACAAAAAGACAAAGAGCACAAGAAACATGAAGAAGATAAAAGAAAGAACAAAAGAGAAAAAAAGAGAAAAGAGATCAAAACCCCACTCAAATATTCGTCCTCCATTTTGTTCTTTACGAAGTCATACTATCATACAACCCGAAGTCTGGTTTTTCTAATCTACGTCTGTTTGAGTATTCGTCTCTGTCTCCCCATACGGCCATACCTCTTCTCCCTACTTCTCAACTCGTCTGACATTCTAATAGGCGCATCACTTGATCTTCTATACACATGACCAAACTATCACAATCAAGACTTCTACATTTTATCTTTTATAGGCCTTACTCCACCTTTTTCTGATTATCTCATTCCTTAAGCGGGCAGTCTTTTCTGGTGTATTCACACATCCAACTCGATATGTGCATATATTCCGCACTCATCCTTTTGGACGTGACATTACTTCAACGTCCAACACTCGACAACATACAATAATGCATGTCTAATTATTGTCCGATAAAATTTATCCTTAAGTCTAATCATCATACCTCAATCACATAGAAACTCTGACACGCTTTTCCATTTCATCCACTATCTAGTTTATCATCGTTCTGAATTAAGTAACAGAACATATCATATAAATTATCATCTCTATCCATTTCATCCACTGTACTTTGTAATCAAGGATAATCCTACCATTATCACTACTTCGACATCTATTAACTTACAATCCATATAATTTGTCTCAAATAAAGTGAGTTTTCCTTAATTTCTTTAACACAATTATTTAGAAAATTGTGAGTATTTTAAACAAAGTTTTATATCTAATTTTTCTTAAATAAAGCGAGTTTTCCTTAAATGTGATTTTGTTTTTAAATTTCTCATAATCTCAAACTTTCCCAACTATTCTAAGTTATCATATTAAAAACAATGTTAATGATAATAGATAAAATTTAAATCTGTTTAAAATAATGGTAATGATAATTAATACTCCTTTCGTATCACCATAAGAGCCTCACTGCATTTTTCACGTAATTTAAGATATTTTATAGGTTTACTGTACACTTTTGAAAAAGCACCTAAGAGATTTATGGTATTGTAGCAGTACTGTTTACTTTATTAAAGTGTATTATAGCTACTTTTAGGATGAAATTATTTCCCAAAATAGATGTAAGAGACTTATTTTGATACGATCAAAAAAGGAAAGCGAGTCACTTATTGTAATATGGAGGAGTACAAGATAAAGTTTTTTCCCACTATATCTCTCCTCTCTTCTAACACACCACAAAACAAAAGCCACAATGGCTCTCACCTACGATGAGATAAAGAGATCAGATGTATGCGGCCTTATTTCTATACTAAATTACAAACTCTTTCCAGATAACACATGATGAAAATCGCGTCAAAACTTACATGGATTGACTGTTGGTTAATAACAAAGAAGCGCAGACAGTTTAGTGAATCGTTTTGCTTTATTCCATCATATTCCGAAGCCAAAATGTAAAGAGTTACTCCATTGGAATTGATAGAAGCATAACTTATTCCATTTACTTTTCTTAATTTCTTCTTCAATCTCCTCCTTTAACTTGCTACACAGGAGAAAAACCTCTTCGGTAAGATCTTGGAAGTAGGGCTGGACTCGGGCCGGGCGGCCCGAACCGGAACCGGCCCGGCCCGGTTACTGTGTGAACCGGCCCGGCCCGGTGGCCCGGTCCACCGGCGGTTCGGGTCGAACCGGCCCGGTGGATACCGGTTCCGGGCCCGGGCCCTCCATTTGGTGAACCGGCCCGGCCGGTTCGGGCCCGGTCCGGGCCGGAATAATTTTTTTTTTTATTTTTTTTTTGAAATTTTTTTAATTTTTGGGTTGGATTAGTTATTTTGGGCCATTTGAGGTGGTTTGGGGTGGTTTGGGGTTGAGGGGGAGGGGTAGAGGGTTAAATAAGAGAAGCCAAAAATTTAAAAAAAAAAAGGGGGCGGGTGAACCGGCCCGGAACCGGCCCGGTCGGGCCCGGAACCGGCCCGGAACCGGTCACCGCCGGTTCGGGCCCGGGCCCTCCTATTGGTGAACCGAGGCCCGGCCGGTTCAAGGCCCGAACCGAGTCCAGCCCTACTTGGAAGTAATACATTTCCGTCAATCATGTAAATTAGTTTATTTTTTTTATGAACCATCGCGCAATTAAAATTAATTTCATCAATTTATATATTTCCATATAAAATGAGGACACAAATTTCATAACAGAAAACATTAATCTCGGAGACAAAGATGACAAAAGTTGCAACAAGAAAAAGGGAGTCTTTGTGATTGCTTCTACTTTAAAAAAGTGATTTTGGGAAAAATGTTTAATAGTAAAACTTGGTAGTGTTTGAAAAAAAAGTCATTATGAAAAAGTAAAAGTTGGTAATGTTTGATGGAATAAGTGCTTTTTGTGTAATAGAAAAAGTGAAAAGCAGTTAAAACACCTCTCAACCTGCTTCCAGCTTTTAGCTTTTAAGTAATTAATTTAAGTAGAAGCTGTCATTTGAAAACACTCATTCAGCTTTTTTAAAGCCAAAAGTTGAAATCCACTTATTTTAATCTTTAACAAACGAGAGAATTTGACTTTCCACCCCACTTTTTGGGTGATATTGGACTTTGCACCCTATTTTAAAAAACATTTGACTTCGCACCCTATCATATACTCCCTCCGTTCCGGAAAATTGTTCCCGCATTGACTTGGAACGAAGTTTAAGAAAGTGGGAATAAAGTGGAAATGTATGGTTGTGGTTGAGTAAGAAAAAGGTAAATGAATTGTAGCCACAAAAAACTTTCCAAAAGGGGAAATTGGAACAATTTTTTGGGACAGCCCAATAAGGAAACCGGGAACAATTTTCCGGGACAGAGGGAGTAACATTTCGGAAGGAAAATTTCTAAATGGGGTGCAAAGTCAAATGATTTTGAAGTGAAATGAGATGCAAAATCATTTTTTTTAAAATGGAGTGCAAAATCTAGTATCATCCAAAAAGTGGGGTGCAAGGTCAACTACTTTGAAGATAATATCTGTGTTAGAGCGAATAAAAGCAGTACCGTTCAAATCTCAAAAGGAGCGAATAAATTAGGGGAATATTAGAGTTTTGCTGTGTAAGCTGATGAATTTCTAAGCCGTGTTGAAGAGCTTCAACTCCTTGCAAAGTGCATTAGTGAGTATGGAGATCCCATCTCACAATTTCGAGCACTAGCTTAATTATCTTAAACCTGCTACATGGTCTAAAGGGTGTGGCTGGAACCAGAGTAAGTAGTGCTCTGTTCTTTGTTGAGTTGTTATTTCTTTACTTCTGTTTAATTTTTACTTACAAATGGCTTCTGAACCACTACCTGCTTCCTCACAGAGGATGATGCGAGGTTGCTTTTGGGAATTCATCACCATGGATTTGGAAATTGGGATGAGAATCTTGGCCTTGTGAAAACAATTGCTCCTGCTGAATAGTTTTATTATTATTAATTGGGAAACTGTTTTAGTCCTATCCTATAAATTTTCCCTAGCTTTTTTACAAAAATGCTATTGGTACCCCATTTTGAGGTATCCCATTTTTACCCCTCCTATTGTGTGGCCCAAACGAGGCAATACATTTAAGTGAGACAACTCATTTAAATGTGGCCTCATTTGGACCATACAAAGTGTGGAGTAAAAACGGTACCCTAAAATGGGATACCTAGCACAACTTTTTTTTAATACACTAGGATCTTAGAAATAAGTCTATTTATTCCGAATTGAAACCTTGAACAAATTAAAATAAATTGCCTCTATGTTCCTCGATCAAACATGCATCATTTTAACTACTGAAATTCCATTAGTTCTGTCTTCTTCCAATGTTATTCCAAACTTGCCCTCCAGCCGCATTAGAATCTCAACTGAAAAATAAATGATGGAAAGAATGGACATGTCTTAGTGTATGCGTATCAACAAACATATTTTACATATCCCAGTGAAATAAAAGTTAATTTCATGCAATGATGAAAACATTACAGAAACCTCTAAAAGAGACAGATATTCAGGTTGGTACAACAATATAGGTAACCTGGTTCAATCAATTCTTAAGCATGTGGTGTCGTAATATCTAATTCCAGTCTTTTTTTTTTAAACCCTTAAATCGTGTATAAGTTTTCAAGCATGTGGCTGAATAAGTAGGTCTTTATTTGTATATTATTGCAATTACATGATTGCAAAGGGAAATAGGATAACTTATGCATGTATAGGATAACTTATACATGTATAAGTGTTTGTATAATTATATGATTTATGTTTCTAGTCTTTCTCTCGTATGATTACTGCAATTACTAATCGATGATGAGTATTGATAAATACCGTTGATGGCAGCACACATATTCAAAGGTTGGAAACAAGCTTTTGAAGCAGATCAAAAGAAGCAAACAACTTGACTGCTCTACTTCATTCCTTCGAGAAGGCAAATTTGAATGAAAAGGAGGTGCAAGAATGGTGCCATAGACAGTTGATGGCAGAACGAGGAAGCTCCATACATTTCATAACAAATTAGCAATGAATTGAGGCAGCGATCTTATTGTGCGTCGGTGGATAGCAATTTTGTGGCTGTGTATAGAACCACCCTTAAATTAACGAGGCATTCCTATACACTCCAAAAAGAAGGCCAGCATTTAGGATAAGAGGCTCAAGACAAATATCTTTTATCACGAAGAGCTTTTCTGCGTCCAGCGCCGTGTGTAAGCGCTTACGTCGTTCATATAATGAGCTGTTTCTGTCTCCCGCCTCATATGTCAACAGAAAAAAGCCTCCGTCTTTCAAGTACAAGCTAACATTCTTTGATAAAATGGCAACCTGCTCATCCTCACTAATGTAACTCATGTCACAGTATACTACATCCACCTTTCGGAGAATGGCAGCTTGGTAGTTTTCAGGTTGCCTTGCATCTTCAAGGATAGGAGTAACATTAGCCCTCCTCGCCGCCATGTTCACCAACACCGCAACATTTTGCAGACAGGATTCCACTTCATACACCACTCCCCGGGTTCCGATAATATCAGATATATGGGAAACAGTTGCTATGGCTCCTTCGCCATCTCCGAGATAGAGGACTCTAAAACCAGGCGCTACAAATATATCCTCAGGTGCACGGGCAATAGCAGCTGCCAGCGGGGAACGGAATGTGTTCCATGGTCTGTACTCAACCACTGTCCCATCTTCTTCCTGAACATATGTTATGTACCCATTGTACGTAGCTTTACCAGGAATCATATTGCGTGTGCACAGACCACCCTCTTCACATCTAAGCAAGGAAACACCCTGACATACACGGAGATGTTCCACTACTTTTGGATTCCAAATAGTACGTTTCCTATAATTTGTTGCATCCGCGGATCCGGCCGCTAGGTTGGAATTTGTACCCGCTTCCATGCCCGTTTTCGCCTTTTTAGAGGCTGGCATGGATTCTGAGTCACCTGGGCCGGGGATGCCCTTTGGAGTTTTTTCTTCAACGGATCCTGAGCTCTGTCCTTCCATCCTCGAAATTTGCAGGGGTGCCGCTTCCATTGAGCACGTATATTGTGAATCAATTCAATCGGATGACCGTTTTGGTAGGGTTTATTTAGATTAGAGTAAGCATTAATTTCAGAATTCTTTTTTTATTGGAAGATCAATTTGGCGAAGAGCAAGCTGAGTTGCTAGTAGGGATGTAAAAAAACACCTACCCGCAATGACCCGTCCTGGACCGAGACATTTGGGGTGGGTCCGCCCCGCCCCGTCTTGCAAATGGGGCGGGTCCGTCCCGCCCCGCCTATACAATGGGGCGAGTCTGGGTATTAGAATTGACTTGTGCCTCCCCGACCCGCTCAATATATAAGTATACATACTTTTTCTTAAATTATACTACAAATATACTTCAACATACATATGTGTGTATACAATAAATCATAAATGTAATATAAGTATATATATTACTCCCTCCGTTCTTTAATATTAATCCTCTTAGGCTTTGGCACGAGTTTTAAGAGGAAAGTAGTAGGGGTAGTGTAAAAGGTGTAATGAGTAGTGGGTAAATTAAAAAGTAAGAAAGAGAAAGGGGTAATGGTAATAAAAGTTGGGGTATAAAAGTATATTTAGAGTAAAAACTTTCCTTAAATAGAAAGGAGGACAGATAAAAAAACGTCCCAAAAAGGAAAGAAGGACTAATAAAAAAGAACGGAGGTAGTACTATATTAGAATGAGATGAACGGCGGATTATCAATGTCTTCTTTATATATAGAATTTTAATACATATAATCAATTATTAATATAACTAATTAGATTAACTATTCAATTCTGAGTAATTTTTCCTTAATTTTTGAAATTTTTAACGTATCATGAATTTGATTTAATATATTGATTTTTAATTATTACTCGTATTTAGAGACAAACTTTATGTAGATTCAATTGGCAACAACTTCCCACAAATAAAAATACATACTAGCTGATTAGGTTGCGGCGAGACGGGGCGGACCCGCCCCGCCCCGCATGGGGCGGGTCATGGGTCAGCAAGTTTGGACCCGTGCAGGTCGCGGGGCGGACCCGCCCCGCCAAGTCACGGGGCGGGTCCGGGTCTTGCAATACCCGCCCTGCCAGACCCATTGCCATGCCTAGTTGCTAGGCGCACTCAATTCATTACTTAATCCAACCCCAAGATCACAAATTTAACCTTCCTTCTTTAATCGATTAAAATTGCTCTTGAAGGCTAGAAGCTTCACACATGGACACGACGCTATTCAATTTTAATAAATTGCAAAATTAAGTGGTGGTTTGGTAACACCGTTTTTCAGCTTATCAGGCTTATCAGTTATCAATCAACTTTTTCACCAAATACGCAATTTTTTTTCGTGCGCTGAATTGTGTAATAAGCAGAAAAAGTAAGGTTGGAGTTACTTTTCTGGCTGTATTGGCAGAATTTACTGTAGATAACAATTTTAGCTATTTTTACATATAATTTTTTCTTTATTTTACTAATAAAATATATTTTAAAAATAACATTTTCTTAAATCAGTAGAATCATCCAATGCAGCCACTTCAGTCAGAACTTCATAAATTTCAGCAGAATCAGCCAAAACAACCGATTTTCGTGCTATCAAACGAGCTCTAAATCTACAACTAATTATAATTGTTTGGTGCAAATAATTGTTTTTTCTAAAATATCAATTTGTTATAGTAAAAATGAGTAAAAAATCAATTATGTGTCAGCTTCTTACTGGGTAATACTACCTCCGTCCCATAATGGTTGTCTTCTTTCAATTTGGCACGATTATTAATAAAGTGGTTGAAAAGTAAAAGTTGTGGTTGAGATTTGAGTAGAATAAAGTGAAATGATAAGGATCACATATTTCTTGATAAAAAGAGAAACATGACATTCATTTTAGGACAACCTAAAAAGGAAAGTAGAACAACCAAAATGGGATAGAGGGAGTAATAACACTACTATCACAACTACTAAAATAGTTATTTAACTCACGGTTCACACTAGTGTTCACTCCCTACAATTGTGCATCACTACTCATATGGATCAAAGCTGGTAGGAGAAAAATCAGGATTAAGAGGTTGTTAATGGGTCGTTTTGACTCATTTGATTGTTTTTTATAAAATTATAAGTAGAAGTATTAAATGACCTCATGTGATGATTTCGTAATAATAGAAGACCTTATTTGGTCATTTTCGCTATTGTTTTTTTAATATTGAATATGCCGTTTGAATTTATTTATTGCTTCTAGCTTGTTCGTCATTAACTCATTATGTTTTCACGTGAATAAAAAGTTTGATAAACGTACGTATTCCAAACAAATAGGTTATTTAAAAAACCAAAAAAAATAAGGCTTTTACATTAATGTAAAAAAGGGGAAAACTGTCAAATAGGTCCTCGAACTTTCATAAAAAGGTCAAATAAGTCCTTGTATAGGAGGCTCTGTCCGGCCGTCACAATTTGGGGCGGTTCCCGGTGGAATTTTTTATGCAAATTTTTGAGCATCTTATTCATCAAGTCTAGTTTACTCATACCAAATTTCAGCTAAAACTTCAATTTGGAACACATTCAAATTAATTCTTGAAGATAACCACTCATTTAACTGCACAGTTATCTTCAAGAATTAATTTGAATGCGTTCTTAATTGAAGTTTTAGCTGAAATTTATTTGGTATGAGTAAACTAGACTCGATGAATAAGATTCTCAAAAAATTTCATCAAAAAATTCCACCGGGAACCGCCCCAAATCTTGACGGCCGGACAGAGCCTCCTATTCAAGGACTTAATTGTCATTTTTATGAAAGTTCGTGGATCTATTTGACAGTTTTTCCTAAAAAAATATACAAGACAACCTACAAACAGTTACAACAAATCCAATCGTAAATCCTAGGAATATACATAAAATCAGCCTACTCAAACAAAGCCATCTGACTTGCTAGACACGAAACTGGCAATTTTAAGCCTATAATGATCGGAATCAAAAGTCAAAACAGTCTATCAAAAGTACTTTAAAAATCAAAATATCCACATCAAACTTACTCGAACTAAAATAAAAACAACAACTAGTAAAGAAGAAATATGCTTCAATATAGTCTTTCTACAAAATGGTTTTTGGCACGAAGGTGGTTTCAGAGGAGGACGGACTGCTGCAATATGAGAACACTAGATTCTTCTTCTTACTTCGTTCTGAAAGAATGAAGAAAGAGGTATAGAAAAAAGCATTCTTCATGTCTTTTTCATTCTCTACACAGTCCAAAAGAAGGTACATACAAACCCCAGATGAGGGGGCTGTTTTTCTGGGAATTGAATGGAGGAAAAATCAGCAGGCTGCCGAAAACTGGGTTTTGAGGGGGCTATTTTTCAGGGAGTTAGTTAAGGCTTTGATAGGTGATTTTGTAGCCTAAAGAGATTGACACACTGATGTATCCTGGTTCGGAGGTGGTGTAATCCACCTACATCCAATCACACCATATAGATGGATTTTTACTAAGCTACTAATCAATACACTTAGTGACAAGTTTACCCTTGATCATAGGCATAAACTGTCAGGTTTTCACAAGGAGAACAACCCACTCCAAGTTACTCTTGCCTCTAGGTTTTTAACTAATGAACTAGGCTGATCTGATTCAAGAGCTACTCATGCGTTAACTTCTAGGTTTTTCACTAATAAACCAAACTGATTCAAGAGCTACTCATGTCTTATTCTACCCACTCTTTGGATTTGTATGTGACACCGCACCCGTGTGTACCCGAATTTACTATTCGAAAGTTTCGTAATTGATGTTTTGAACTTGTTATTACCAGCCGTGTGTAACACATGTGTTATCTTATGTAACTCATGCCTTGACATTGTGTGAAACGAGTAGTGTTTGATGTAACTTGTGTTTGTTAACTCATCGTTGGGATTCGTGTTTCGAGAGTGAGTTTCCAAATACTGATGTGGGCCATCTTGGTTAGTATAAGAGCCCGATATTATATGGAGAGAAATCACATTACGAAGACACAAATAATAACACTCAATTTTCCTCCGTAAGGAATTATCGGTAAGGATTTTCCTTCCGGGCTGACTTGGACCGAAGGTGTAACACCCCCTACCCGGCCCAGACGGATCGGGCAGGGAGTGCTACCCGCAGTGCCGCAGCACCAAAGCGTTGACTAACTAATTATTTTCTTGAAATATTTTTAGTTGAATTTAAATGAGAATAATAATATTAGTTTTTATCAAAGTCCATAAATTGCGGAAGCATAAATATATTACACAACAAGTAGTTCTGGATTTTGGAATAACCAAATACATCCATGAGATATAACCATTCTCATTTTTATTTACTTCACACACTAATATGCTAAATGAGCACTTATTATGCAACTAGAGATGGATTATTACTAATATGCAGATGTGACTCTTTGATGATTGGCTGCTGCTCCCAAATGCATCCCGACTTGAGTTCCGTCTCGTAACGCTTATTGACCTACGCGAAGGACAAAAATCCAACGCGCTAAGCAAATCTTGCTTAGTGGTGTTCATTCTTTCTCAATGAATAATCAACATAAATTGTAACAATATAATATCAAAATAGCTTATAAGTCTGAATTAATTAAGAATACAACTTTCTTCATAGCTAATGTAGCTTAATAATATGTCATCAAAATGATAACACAATTTGTTCACGGAAATCATTTTTGCAAATTTTTCAGAATATAGAGTATAACAAATTAAAGTATACTTCTTATGCACTTAGCATTTTCCACTTCTCAACGTACCATTTCATTTTTTTTTTCTCAATTTGCATTTCCAAATCAAATTTCTATACGTTTCTTATTTTCAGGAATTTTACTCCTTAGTTTAATGGACTGGATAAACGGGACATTCCTCATCTGGTACTGTCCACTCTGTGGCTACGGACCATCTGAGTAGTATCAGCACTGACCGTTGTGTGGGTCAGGCCTTTCGTTAGGGTACTGTTCACTCTGTGGCTGCGGACCCTAAACGATCAAAGTTCAAGATTTTCGTTATAGTATCAGCACTGACCGTTGTGTGGGTCAGACCTTTCGTTTGGGTACTGTCCACTCTGTGGCTACGGACCCTAAACGATCAAATTCTACGGCCGTATTAACTATCCCTATTGGCATGCCAATCTATCCAATCCAAAAACACAGTTTCAATTTCCATATTTATTTATTATTCTGATCTAGCATTTTCTTCTTCTTTAGTAATTATGGCTATATATGTTATTGTTGTTTCTGATGATTGACTTTAATCATAAAATTTTACGATTTGGTTATAACGCACCGTACACATGTTTGCCGTCCAACACTATCAATTGGATTACTTTTGAAGTCTAACCGACTTAAATACTTGAGCAAAACTATTAATTAGGAACTCGTCATATTGCTGTTATTTTTATTATTTTAA